GACTATGACTCCATGAGCCCCCCCTTAACTACTCTTGGCATTGGCAAAAGGAGTTTGTGGGATTTGAGCCAGGAGTTCTGGGGTGAGTAAAGGTATCTTGCAACTATAGCGCACGAACCCTGCCTATAGTTGAGGATATCTAGCGGACCTGGCTGTTGGTGTGATACAGTGCACCGGTCTCACCATATATGAAGTGTGAAGTCATGGACAGGCGCCATCCCTGCTACTATATAAATATTGATGGCAATTTAGGCCTACCAAAAGAGTTGAAACTGAGAACATCAAGTTACCTGCGATATCCAGCGACAATTCAAGATTCTGATTCACACAGAGCAATCTTCAAAAGAATTCAAGAGGCACATCAATTTGGAGAGATACCATTGTGAAGGCCAACCAGGAGCTTCTTGAACTGACTATATATGAATGATTCTTGTTCTTGGATGCTAGGGATGAACAAAGAGATAGATAATTTGGGTCTGTCCTATTACCAGTAGCAGTGGATGATGGTGGTTAGTAAAGGCCTTTCTCTGAAATAGTGATAGTTGTTTGCCGACTGTTCCTGGCAATAGGACAAACCCGATATATAATGATATTCTAACACTACATAATATCAAAAAGAACAACACCATGCGTCGGAGCCCTTCTTGGAGTGCTCACCAAGAAACAGCCAGTTTTCCACCAGAAGCCCGGCCAGAAAAAGAATCCATTTCACGATCGTCTCCTGGAGGCGGCGCAGAAGAAGGGTTAGCCAGTTCAATCACATCTGACTGTGCATCTGTTCGTTCGTCTATGAGTGTGACACTCGGTGTGTATTAAAAAGGAAGACCTCCCAAAGACATCCCATGGAAGAAGAGAAGATAGACTAAAAACCATTGGTTGGGGTGACTCCCTATTAGCTCGGAATGGGAAACTGCTCCAAGTGTGGAGCTGGAGCCATGCCATTCACCAACGGATGCGCGGCATGCGCGGCCATGTCATTCAGCATCGGGTCCTGTTTTCTTATGATGTCAAGGGGGCAGCCGGTCCAAACAAACTCAGATTCGCAGCCGCAAAAAGAATGGAAAATTAGAAGGAAGTCCACATCTACACAAACCAACAAACACATGAACCTATACCAATGAAACCAGAATGCATGAATATTTGTATGTAACAATATGTACAGTAACAATTAGTTCCAGAAGCTCTTTCCACACGCTCTCTTCTCCCCTTCTCCTTGCTCTCCAACGGCAGCAGCGGCATCACCGAGAAGCTCCCCGCCGTCGACAGCGCCACAGCCAGCCGCCGCATCCGGCGCCGCCGGGGGTTCGCGCGGTCGGCGCCGGAGGGGGCGAAGGCCAAGAGGGGGATGGTCACCATGAGAATCGCCTGCCGATTCGGACCACCGGGTCGGGCAGAGTTGGGCAGAAGGAGGAGCCAGACTGCTGGGGGTTCTGCGCCAGACTTGCGGAGAACACGTGGGTGAGAATGGATTGGAGATGGGTGTGAGTGTTCGAGGTGTGTGTGTTCTATTTGGTTTCTAGGAGGTTTGGAGTTTGGAGTGGGTGTGACATGAAATTTCCTGAGTGGAGAATGGCTCCCGGCTGCAACTATAGGGGCGATGATTTTTGACCCGAATCATGGTTCTGGCGAGTTTGTATGCGAGGGATGCCTGGATGGCATTTCGCGGGGGAGTCTTACTGGACTATACTGGACTTACCACTTCAAAGTGTGCCACTCTCCGAGGTGGAGAATGAGCTATACCCCACCATGTTTCAGTATCCGACCCCCTTCAGCTTTCCTTCGGATAGAGGTGCTCTCACATTAATGTATGCAAGAGAAGTGAAGCGAATTCGCCATGGCGAGTTGCCACGTCGACCCCCATCAAAATAAGCTAGCCACTTTCTCAATGGGGCACTCGGGTCCTATCGCTCTACCAGCCACCCCCCCCCCAAACCCCAAAGCCCCCGATGTAGGCACTTGGGGTGACGAAGCCGGACTATAAGTACCGCACGGAAGTCGCTGGTCACCAGCTACAGCCAGTTGAACAGTCCCCTTCACCGGTAATGAATCAACAAACAAACCCTTTTGGCCTCCAACTACCCTCCTTTTCGAAGATGGTTGGGAAACGCCGGTGGAATTGGATTCATCCGGACATTGGGTGACCATCTCGCCCGACCGCCAACGCAGCCCCTGAAACGCAGCCCCAAACGTTCCACAGACTGCACAGGGCGAAAGACCCGCGCACGTGACACGAAGCGGTCAACGCGCACGTGACACGGGACCTTCTCATGCACGTGCCATCCAAAGCTGAAGGCCACTGCTGAACCCAGCGCCACGTAGAGAGACAAGCTCCCGCGCTCGGGCGCCTGGAAGCTCGGGCGCGGACCGGGCAGGCTCGAGCCGGTGGGTGAGAAAGAAGCAAGGTGCTGAATACCAAAGGAACAAGCTCTCCATGAAATGTAGGGATCTTGAGTGATTAGTTGGGTGATTGGCAAGTAGCTAGACGTTCTTCATCTTTCTTCTTAGGCCCTCCAAAACGATGATTTTGACAGAGTCAGAGTCTTTGGCAACTCTTAGTGGAGCAGAGACCTGCTGGTTCTGCCTACCCAAGGCTTCCTAGCCCACGGTTGGTGTTCTTGCCTACCCCAACCAATCATGAACACCAGTACAACACAACCAGGCCAGTCTTGCAAGGCTGGGGTGCCAGGACACCCAGCCTAAGGGGCTTCCATTGATAGCCAGAGGTTAAGGGTGATACACCCATCAACCACCCCGACCGGGTCCGGGTCCTGGTATTACATGGAATCACTGAGCTGACCTGATTCTTTTAAGGGAGAAAGCTGAAGCACATGACACCCTGATTGTGAGGATACCTTACTTCTACACCCGGCAAGAACACTTCACTCACCTGTTCAGACTGATGCGACCCCACCGTCCAGCAACCCCACCGCATGCGTTTGGTGGTGTCTTCACCGCCCTGGGACCAACCCCCACGGCCTGCCAAATGGCGCGCAGCAGCGGGAGATAAGCCAGAAGCGTCCTTGGAACATCTCTTAAGAACATGTATGCCCCAAACGAACAAAGCTCTCTAAATGGGTGCAACCGTTCCCGTAATTATATATTTTTATAACTTGGAGAGAGTATTTGGATGATGATGAGGATGAGGATGAGGATGAGGATGATGATGATGATGATGATGAGGATGATGGTGATGAATGATGAGGATGTCGTCCAGGAATATTATGCTGGGGCCACTGTAATTCGTCCACGGCTTCCTCATCGACGCCGCGTGGAAGCCAAACAACACCTCTCGGCCGTCCGGAGGTCTCCTGGACCCTGCCGAGAAAGAACAGGAAACTGCCTAAGCAATGGAATGAACTCGAATGCATGGCGTCCCAACAGTGTAACTCAAACACATGCTCAACATGCCCCCGGTTGAGAGAGAGAGAGAGAGATTGATTGATTGATTGCACCAACCTTGGAACCTTTCGATCCACTCTGCCCTGGGGGGACTTCGACTGCCCTGGGGGAATCAATGCCGCAGGCATGGCCGGTGCTTTCCGCACCAAGATCGGGCCAGGTCTCAAAGCGAAGGTGGCCTTGGGCGGCACGGACCACAGCACCGCACTCTCGTAGACCTGCGCCACACACGCGGGACAGCGTGAGGTGGCCATGAGTTCGGTTCGTGGGGGACGTGTTTTTGGTACGTGTGAGGAAGTGCTGCGCAGTGTGGATGGTACGTATAGAACACGTCCAAAAAGCTGAACCTCCGGAGGCCGCGCCTCCGCGAAGCCGGCCGTGGAGCCGGAGGCTCCCGACCGGCGGAGCGCCTGCGTCACGACGGGTGTGGCAAAGCGTCACAGCGGATGTGGCATGCAATGAGCAGCCTAAGCCATTGTGGTCGTACAGACTTACAGGACCATCTTTTGGGATAGAGACATGATAGAAACATGCGCGTAAAATCTGCTGGGTGCAACTCCCGCGGGTGGAACACACAATAATTCGATGGTATTTTAGGTTCATCGTTGTGATACTGTTTGGATGTTAAATCCTTGCTGTTGCAGCGGACCTCGCTGATGATTTGTCCTCAGCTCCAGCTGTTGACAGGTGAAGGATCTGGGACCGCTTGAAAGTGTTCATCTAGTGTTTGCTCCTTTATTCAAAGCACTTCCAAAAGCCTTGGATGAACCATTCAGCTCTGACATTCAGCTCCTGTACTTGCGGCTCGCCCGGATCCTAAACGTACCGAGGAGCTCCGGGTCAGGGACGGTGATGCCCATGAAATCACTCCGCATGGTGCCTTTTGTATGAAATCGCTTCTGAAACCATGACTTTCAGGCTGACTTTGGGTGCTGCGAATGGAGAACGTCCCAATTCAAAGAGCTGTGGCTGCTATCCAGTTCATCCAACATCAGCATGCCTGTCGAATACGGATCCACGAGATGCCTTCGCCAGCACACGGTCCACGGTGTTGTACAAGGCCCAGCAGTTCCTCCAGCCGTTTCAGGTCTGCAGCTGCTTGGGAGCTCTGAATTACTCTCCCTCCAAGAAATGGATATTATTGCTTGTTAGTAGAGGATCACGATCTTCCAGTGGCCACAGTCCACCAAAAAAACACATACTGTACGTAGCAGATTCAGTATGATTCAGTGGTTTTCGGAAAGGGTACAGGTATCAGTATCCGGGATGAATTCGCCGGGTAAATCCGAATCCTTGGAGAGTTCAGCCTAAAAATAGACAACTCATTAGTTTGGATCCTGACGTGGTTGGTCTGACTTCAGGGTTCAAAGTTGGTCATCTTCAACATAGATCATTGGATGGGCAAGGCCAGTATAGTCATTAAATTATATATGTGAAAGCGTGTGGTTTCCCCAAAATGCCCAGTCCAATGCTGATCACACAGCAAACCCACATGTCCAGTTGCTGGCAACCGCACGACGGAGTTTGGGATTGCTTTGCCAGCCAGGTGCAAGCTCGAAAAATGCTATCAGTATCAATTTCCGAAGTCCAACAAAACTGCACTAGCTCTCACTATCTTTACGCCCTGGAAGAAATCCCCAGCCCTGGTCGACCCAACTGCCATCTCCGCCCAAATCGGTGCAAAAACCCAGGCTCGGTGCCCAGTAGGCGTGCGTCAAACCGCGGCCAAAGGGGAACAAACGCTTCAGGAGCTGTGGCATCTGCACTGGTGACAAGAAGGGCGCCAGGAGCACCTGGAGGTCGTGCGACACGCCAAAAAGGACATTGGCAAGGGACGTGGGGTAATCAAATGGGCCAATGGATGCCATTGGGAGTGGATGCATCGAGACTAATTACATCCTAGGAAATTTCATCTAAACTAACTTGGGAACCTGTACACCCAAGCTGTTTGTCATGCCAAGCTCTTTTCAAACTCCCATCTGCAGGCACCACTGACAGGTAGCCCACATGGCCTGTTGTACCGTTGTACCATGTTGTACCACTACTGGTCCAGCACCTCTTACGGTTTTCGCACAGTAGCCCTCCTTTTTCATGAGGCAACCAAGTTGGGCAACATTATGCGACATACGTTTTTGTATATGGTCCCAGATTGCCCGCCTCCAAACTCCTTGATCTCTCCCCGATCTCATGTGGCCAGTTTTTGGTCCCAGGCTTACAGTGCTTGTCGCTCTGCCTATAAGGATGGCACCCAATTCAGACCAACGACAAAAACAAGATTTCGTGTTGCGACGTTCCCGAAAGAAGTACGCTCGCATTTTTTTCTGCTTTCAATCATTCCGCTCTTGGCGGCGGTAGATCCACTGGTGAACTCTACTGCACAGCCTGGCATGCTTCGTCCTTTGACTTTGGCATGCTTCGCCCACTGACTCTTCACATGCTTGACGTGTTTCACAGCCACGCAAGCCTGAGCGGACTATCTCTGCACATTCTTGTGCCGGCCGAGCGCCAGCTGCAACGAGTGTCCAATCAGCTGGGGCCACAATCACACACAAAGCCACAAACAATGAAACCTGCCAACCTCTTGTTTGCGTCCAAGTGGGCATCATGCGACCCGGCCGCAGGGGCAGGTGGAGTCACTGGTGACGCCGTCCCTCGCTCCAAGCTCTCCATGCTGCTGCGGTGTTCATGACGTACTGTGGCGCAGTTCACATAAAGTAACGAAGGCACGAACGAATGTCACTTGTCCCCTCCCGCTTCCCCACATGTAACATCAACATCAAGAGTCACATCAACATGTTGGCCAACAAACATGAAAACACCGATAAACACCGTATGTTGGTCAACAAGTGTGACAGAAACACATTCAACACAGAAAATCAACGCCTCCGGGGGAGCCCGTATGGCCGCGACGCCCAAAACACGGGTCACGAGCGAACTCAAGCGGATTCCCGTAGTCAGCGTAGTCAGCACCCAGCCTGCAGATTTGCCCGCAAACCTTCAGTGTACTGGGTTGGCAGCACACCCCAAACAGAATGTGCTTTGATGTATTCGATGGTTTCGGGATGTTTTGGCGCGCTGCTTGCGCTCGTGCGCTCGTCGAACGAGCTGCACTGGTGCCCTTAGCCACCGGGTCCTGGTTCTTTCTACAGTCGCCTGATGGCTTCAGTCGGGCGACAGTCGCCTCGTAGCTTCTTCTTTGCTACAGCTTTCTGACCTGAAAGGGTGACTTGAGCTTCCAGTTGGCAATCTCTTGCTCCTTTGCCGCTTCGTTGGCCAAGTCTAGACGATCCTTATGGTTCAAGGATAAGGACCTGTCGCGGCTTGACTGCCGCTGTACCGCTCTGACGGCGGTTTGCCTGGCTGCTGAGCACAACCTCAATGGGCTTCTTGACCACAGGCGCACTGGCGAGCGCCCACGGCTCTTGGGAGATTCTTCTTCCTCCTCCTCTTTTGGCCCTTCTTCCTCAAAATCCCTTTTGGCCGTTCTTCGAATTATGCCGCACGCGGTGAAAGAGCTCCTCCTCACGCTTTGGATCATAGAGCTGGGGTCAGGAAGGGTTGAGGCCCAGGACCTCTTCACAATGGCCCTGCACAATTGGGCTGAAACTTGAAAGTTACTAAGGCCTTAGTAGGTTCAAGCCTTTTTTTGAGGGGGTGTGCCGCACAAGGGAGGTAGCACTAGAACTGTTATACCATTAGCTTTCGTGAGCAGAAGCCTCAACAAAACCTCCAAAACCCTTCAAATCCTCAAGAGCGTGGAAGCAACCACAAGCAATTATCCGTAAACCGGTAATCCGTGTAATCATTGGGGATTAACTTGGAACAGTCTAGCTTCGGCAGCAGCCGCAAAACCAAACCAAGTTGGGAATCTTCAGCTGACAGTTCACACAGGTCCACTTCATTCGATGTCTTGGCCTGGATGTAATGGAACAAAGCCTTCGTCGAATGGTGTGTCGAAAGCGTGTGAACAAGCTGAGCTCTGCGTGAAGGGGCGAGCGTAGTCACCGTGAGTCTCGCCACAAACAAACAAAGGCTAACCGCCGCCCGCCCGCCGACGCCCGCGCCGTTTCCAGGAAGTCGCAGCCAAGGAGACAGCTCAGGAGCAGCGCAACCAAGCCAAACGGAACCAAAGGAGAAAAGACAAGGGCGAGCCAATATGGGAAAAGAAAAAAGCCCGGCCAGCAGGAGGCTCCACCTCCACAGGCCATGCCTGCCCGCGCAAGGTCAACGGTCGGAGAGCGGCTCTGACGGCCACACTCGAGCCGACACTTAACCCATACACTCCATGGGATTGTCATATATGCCTACATTGGGGTGGTTTGGGGAGTCAATGTAGACATATATTCCAGTCCCATGGAGTGTATGGGTAAAATGGAGTTTGCGGCTTTGAGCAATGACATCCTCAGTGCTCTGGAGTCCTTTGACCATCTGAGCAGGAACCATTGACAAGTGTTCAAAGCTGGCACGGCAAGACAGCTTGGAACCAAATGGCTTGAGCCATCCATGTGGCCGCCGATCTCATGTGGCCGCCCACGTGAACCAATTCCAAGCAATTCGGGCGAGTTCATCATCGAACACGAACTCAATCGGAGAGTTGGCCCCGGAAACCATGTCCCGCCACTCCGCTCCACCGTTGTCTCCGCCCAAGCGTCGAGGAAGCTTCCGAGCACCACCAAGCCCAAGCGCAGCAGGCGCCCGAAGCGTAAGCGGAAGGGCCAGAAACTCATGTCGCAGTGGAAGCGCAAGAGGTAGACGAAGAAGACCGGCGAGACGTAAAGGAAAATGTGCCTCAATCAGACTGTAGCTCGGCAAGTGACGTCGGTGTTCACACCAGAGTTACGAAGCATGAACATGTTTCATGTCTATATATGTGTTGATGACTGAAGGGCAAACGAGTGGTTCAAATTGTTGTTACAACCATGGTCAGCAGCCTCGAGCAAGGCATTCTAAGGCCCTTAGTTTCACAGGACCAGCTGCAGTGGTTTCAGAGTAGCGATCGGACTTTTAAAAGGTGGCGAACAGGGTCCAAATATTTCAATTAAGGAGTGTTTACCAGGAGTCACTGATCCACTCACTTAGGGGCTAAACACCACCCCTTTGTGACCCCTGGTAGGCATCTTTAGGCATTTACCCTCATATCTCTCTCAGATCCACGTTGGCATAACACTGACGGCCCGGCCCATGCTGTGGGTCATCCACGTCACTCGTGGGTCGAAACAGCCTGGGACGTCGGGACCTCGGTGGTTGATCCTTGATCCAAACAGGACCGCCATCTGGGACTGACGACTCCCGAATCAGGCCACGGGGTGAGGTGTTTTTCATACCCATCCACTCCATGGGACTGCCATATATACATTGGGCTGGCGCCAGGGGGATCAATGGGACGGCAGTCCTATGCCAGCCCCATGGAGTGTATGGGATACGGACACCGACCGCCTCACGCCACGGTGGTGTTTCTCCCGGAGATTCGTCCGACCGTTAACGTTGCAAGTCTCTTCATGCACAGCAGCAAGCAAAAGAGCACCGCGCCCAAATAGGTCCGTTGCCGCTCGATGGCAGCGATCGACAAAAGCAGCAAACCCAAGAGCATGCCGTTGTACTGGAAGTGCCTCAGGGTACTGGAGCAGCCTGGCTCACCAGCCCAACATGAAGAGAGTTTTGCACCGAAACAAGGGTTTGGGGCGCGTACTTTCTTAGCATTGACCATCCCAGCCACATGGCTCGATCAAACAGTCGTCAAGGTCACGTCTAATGGCACGAGCGAACCCCGAGCTGGGGACAATCTGGCTTAAACAAAGTGCGCCATACCAGGACCCTCCAAGGGGTGTCTATGTATAGCCCCTTAGCTGTTAAGGGGTGTGCATTAACCACCTGCTGGAAGGTCCTGGTAGGTGTCAGTTCATTCCCACTTCGAATTAACATTTCGCCGTCGTGCATGCCTGATTGGAACACCTGTCACCTGAGATCGATATCCCAAGGGCCACTACTCAGACTGTCCTGACTGGCCTCCAGCCCCTCGGATATCACCGCCATCCCAAACGAAAATAAAACCATCTGCTGCTGATTTGCGACCGTCCCTGAAACCCAGTCTAACAAACATGTTGCCACAGATCGCCCCATCCAAGGCACACATGATCGACCATCAGCAATGTGGAGTTCCAAAGGACTAAGACCTGATCAGACTGGGACGGTCAGGACACAGGCGAAACGATCAGTAAGGGTTCAAAACAATGGTCATGTGAATGTGCTGCCCAAAGAGGGGAGCATATTCACATTAGGCATAAGATTTTGGATGGTTCTGCCAAGCCAATCTTGACTTCCAAGTAGTTCCAGGTATTCACGGTGCAGCTTGATCCAGGTCGCTCACTTTTCCTGGATATCTATCTTCCACCGGCATTCATCCAGGCCACGCCTGGAATACATGTTGCACACCACATGTCCCACGTTCCACGTGGTTCCACGCCCCGTTGGCGTGGAAAACGCCCCGTTCCACGCCCCAGTTCCACGACCGACCAGCATCGCGGCCCGTGGAGGCCGGAATCCCATCCGCGACCGAACGGAGCGAGGACGGTTCGGAGACGAGCGAAGTGACCGAGACACCACCGAGGTCATGCCACCCACGCTGAAGGCGCCCAAGGCTAGCAATGCATCACCCAAAATCACCTCGTCCCGGAAGTGACGGACATGGGCGGACGCTGTTTCTGGGCGGTCGTGGGGCACGTGCAAACAAGTCCCAGCAATCAGGCTTAAGGACACTGGGAGATGGTCTTAATTTGAACTATCTAGACATCAACTGACATATGTTCAACAAAGACGACCTGAAGTCATGAGTCCTTAGATATGACCGGCACGTTTTGAACAAAGCCTTTGGATGTACCAAACACTACTTCAACATGCTCTCCTGTACGAAACATTACGAAACTGGCTCTCCTGTCGAAACTGGCTATATAAATGATCATGGTCATCATGGTCATCTCAACCAATGATCTTTATTTCGGGAAAGTATATAGAAGCCTATATACTATATATATATATATAATTATTAGTTGTTCCCTTTGGTGCATCCCCTCCTTCAATCAACCCAGATCAACCAACCCAAACACTCCACGGGACTGGAATCTTCCCCTACCTCGGGGCGGCGGCTTAATTCAGGGTCCACTGAGGCTTGGATGGTTGGCAATCTGCCCCATGCCAGTCCCCCATGATGCGATGCACTCGGGTGGTAGACCAAACAGACTCAGGTAGACCAAACGGTCCACCTGTTTGTGCTCCGTAGCGTCCAAGAACGCGACGTTCGTCACGGCATCGCGGCATTGGAGCGTTGGGGACGCTACGAACGGGGCGCTAGTAGAACGGGGCGCGTACTCATATATACCAAGGGCATCGCTACGTTCGTAACAAAGACACCTGAGAACCACGGAAGTGAACCGTTTCAAAGGTTGCGGTCAAGCACTCCTTGGATATTTTTATGCCAAGGGATGCCAAGGGTATTACCACAATGTCTTCCACCAGTTCCCCTGCAGTTTTCGTCCAGTGTTGAGCTTCGTTGTCGGAACCGAGGGCAGAAACTTCTCTCACAATGAGTTCTTAGGAAAGTTCTTCCTTACCAGGATCATCCTGTCTGGGTGTCCAATAGACTACCCTATCCTACTTGCAGGTCACCATTGCGCACCCGTTAGAAGTGCTAGGTATAGGGGTATCCACCACCGCCTCCAAGTGTCGACCCTTCTCTCACTTCATGAACAATCCTTCGCAAGTGAGGTCCCAGTCGCACTTCATTTCACTTGCACTGCATTCAACCTACCAATCCATGAACCTCGAACCGAAGTCAGCGTTTTCCAATACCAGCACTAGTCTTTGAGAGGCCTCAAGTCTTCAGCCATCCACACTAAAACCATCAACGTCGACACGTCAAACCCCACGTCCGTTTCCCTGCAGGGTACCGTGATGCGCTGGAAAAGAACCTCGCTCCGTGGGAGAAACGGAGCAATCGGACTTCAGCGCCCGCCGGACCAGCGAAAAGCGAGCAGTTCTAAGCTGCAGATCGAAAACTACCTGGTTCACCCGTCTGGTGCCGTCCGGTGCCACTAGACAGGTCGGGTCTGAAGAAACCGCCCATCCCCGGTGCTGGTATGAGCTTCCAGGAGGTTCCAGAGGGAGTTAGGTGCCCCCCAGCATCCGTTTGGTCAAGGGAGGCGGAGGATTGGGGCGCCCCGAGAGATTCCACATCCCAAAAGCCATCCACTCACTGATTCTGGGGACTGAACCATGTGTTTTGGGATTTGTGTTTAAGTTTCAGGCCCATCTCGATGGTACGAACCTGCTTTAGATCCCAGTTGCTGGGCCCAACTGGGCCCCAACAAGATGGCGCTGGGGAAGCGAAATCACCAGAAGAACTGATTGGAACATGGACTCGAAACCATTCAGGTTGGTTTGGGAACCAAATTGGAACAGGAAACAGGACACCCGGGTGTCACAAGGTAATGCTTCCAGCTAGGAAACCTCTCACCCAAGAAGCTTGCAGGTGGAAACAACATGAAACAAACTCACCATACAAAGCAAAAAAACATGAGCTTTCAGGGGGTCTTGTGAACTGATTACAAAGGAGTGGTTGGCATGTTTCGACTCGTTCCATGTTCGTTCGTTTGGGAGAGAACCGTCCGAGCTTCCTAGAGAGGAAGCTTGCGCTGGAGGAGCTTCCGCAACCCTTGCGGAGCCGGGACCCCGGGAGCCCGGAGCCCGGAGCAGCCGGAGGTGTTCCGTTCGTTTGGACCTCTTTCAGTCCCAGTCCAACCCAGTGAGTCCCAGTCCAACCCAGTGGACCCCAGGCATACCACGAACCAGGGGCCCTCGTTGGGTCGAACTGGTTTGGTCGTCGAACTGGAACCACTGGGACTGCCGACCTCGTGCGAACTGCCTGCCTGGATGCCCTGTCGAACGGTGTCCAAGACATGGCAACTGGTGTGCAAGACAACGTCTCCGCGTCCCGCGCAGGTCCAATGACTCAATCCGAGTCTCAGTAGCTTCACCTCAACGGCATGGCATGCATGGCTGCCTATGGGGGCCCTAGTCACCAGTCACTGGCATCTCAACTCCCTTAAGGAAGGATATAGTGACATAGTATTATATGAAAGGAAGGAAATCTCATATAGATATCTCAATTGTGACTTTGTAATTTTAGATTGGCTTGAACGGAAAGTATGTGGTTGGCTGCCAAGATCAAATTATAAGACAACGGATTCGATTGATTCACCCGCAACTTGTCTTGTGCCCAGTACGTGCCTACGACGTTGTTCTTAAAAAAACAAACAAAACATGGGGAATTTTCTCAGTCTCAATCAACTTGGCCTGGTTCATGATCCATTGATGGTACCGTAATTGGCTCATCTAGCTACTTGGCCAAGTGGCAACATCACAACGCGTCCCTACCTTCGGTCGCACGTGTCCAGCGTATTTTACCCCGAAAAGGGGGGGGTCAGAAGGGCGAACTCGAGGGGCCGCTGTGGCACCCGAAGCAAGTGCACCAGTCTACCCATGAATGAAAACGGTTGGTTCATAAAGCCTTTTCCATATCGGAGATGTAAAACCATTCGAATGCGGCTTCCCTCATCAATCAAGGCAGCCAAGCCATGTGGGACTCATGACTGCAGACGTTCGTCGGTTCCGGTCAAGAGCTTGGATGCTGAAAAACACATCTGAACAAGTGAATCTCATCCCGTGGGACCCATCCTCGGATCGAAACCCGCAGCGGAGTTGACCAATCTATATACTCTTTAGAAAGATCGGAGATAAACTGAAAGTTGTGTCTAAAATCTATCTAAACTTATCTAGAACAAATAATCATTACTCTAAAATATATTTAAAATCTCATACACTGCCTCTAAGGGCCAAAACGCAGGTTTTGGCCGTCCAAAACACCCTCTTTCTTCCGGCGCCGGTCGCCCGGCGCCGGGCGCCCGGCCCGGTCGGCCCCCGCCGGCACCGCCGAGCCACTGGCATAGTCCAGGTTCTTGACGTCGAGCATCTGGGGATCCACCCACTGCGCCGCCTCGATCGATAGAGGTGCTGAGTTGGAGGGGACGGTCAGAAGTGCTGACTGAGTTGGTGGTTGGTGTGACAACACATGGAGAGGTGCTGAGTCGGTGTCTCCAAAAAAACAATGGATGGATTTAAAAAGACATCCAAGGAACTCTGGTCACTAGAGTCACTATAGAGGCTTCCATCATCGTATCACATGTGTGTATATATATATATTATACAATATTGAATCCATATGGTAACCATAAGGGGACCCAAACCAATGGCAATATGCTTTAGACCATGTTCACTTTTGTTTGATTTCCCGACGTCCAAAGAGTTTTGCCGGGTCCTGAGTCTGTCAAAACGTCCAGAGGAGGGGATCCCAAACAATTGGTTCACCTGGCAGGGGGTGTAGAAGTTGGAGTGCATTTACAGGTGGTCCTGGGGTAGGTAAAACATGATTCCAGGACCTACTTTCAACTACTTTCAGGAATCGATCAACGCTTTTGGTGGGGTTTGGTGGAGTACACTTAGCAGCATGTTGCTATTGGCCCTGGAGCCCTGGATTGC